TCAATGCTCAACAAGTTTAAACCTTCCCTCTTGAACATTTGTATCACAGCTGCCGTGGAAAACGCTAAAACAAATCATCGAGTACTACTATATGTGGAAGACCACCGATCGGTATGTGCAACAGAAGCGGGTTAAGGCCGTGGAGGCGGAACTGAAGCTCAAGCAGGTCTACATACCGCAATACAACAACAACGGCAAGGGCAATGGAGCTGCCGTGAAGGCGAGCGGAGGGATTTACAATGGAACCACAAATGGGAGCACCGATCTCTCCAACAATGGCAAACCCTGCGAATCGTGCGGCGCAACAAAATCATCACAGGTACAGCCACGGGTTAAAATACCATTGGCTGACGACGATCTTATCCATGTTTCTTATCCCCCCACAGTGGAACTCGGTTAACAGTGGGCACAGTACGTGTCGTTTGTGTCAGACCTGCTGGGAGTACTGGCGGAAGTACGGCAGTATGAAGTCGGCGACCAAGGGCGATGGCGGCGACAGTGAGGCCAAAAAGAAGGCTTCAGCTGCAGCGACGACGCCGACAGCCACGTCAGCGGGAGCGGGATCAGGACCAGTCACAACGCCCACGACAGTAGTCGACCTCAACGACGACGACAAAATCAGTGATCTAACCAATCGTCAGTTGCACAGGTAGGTGCACTCCGGAAAAGATTAGACCTGAAACTAACAAAAATCAAACTGAATATTTGTTGAATTTGTTAATTACTTTAACGGAAACTTTAACTAAATGTGTTTCTAAAACATTTCGCTCTTGGGAAATTCGTTTTGAGGGTTTGTTTAATTTAATGTTAACCTTTTGGTTTTGGCTATTTTGTTCAATTAATTTTTTCTCATTAAAAAACATCGTTTAGGAAAAATCTGACGCTTTTTGTCAGAATAAAATTTGAATTCTATTATTGACTACTTGTCACTGGTTGCATTTAAAAAAAGAAAGTGTATAATTTTGTACAAAAATATACATATTTTATAAACCATATTTGTATTGCTTTGTAACAATCCTTGTTATTAATCATATTTACAATTAAATAGAAGAAATGGACTGATTTGAGTTCAATTTCGAGTTTGTACAAGCGAAATCTGCACTTTTCATTTGCTCTTACAAGGTTTTTGATTGCGTAACCAGTGCTTATGATGATTTGCCTTTTCTACAGATGTTCAATTGTCAATTGCGGCAAGGAGTTCAAACTGAAGACCCACCTGGCCCGCCACTATGCGCAAGCGCATGGCATCGCAATCAGCTCCGGATCGCCACGGCCCATCATGAAGACTCGCACTGCCTTCTACTTGCATACCAATCCCATGACCCGTGTGGCGCGCGCCATTTGCCGCAGCATCGTTAAGCCGAAGAAGGCGGCGCGGCAGAGTGCGTACGCCATCAACGCCTTGTTGGTGAAACAAGAATGTAAGTCTGATGGAATTTCACATTTGGAGCTAGCCGTTTTAACCTTTGTTCGATTTTATGTACCAGTTACGAATCGTATTAGTGGAAAATCGCAGGCGGAAATCAAAAAGCTGCTCTTGCTGAAGCCCAAGGATCGGGGCAGTGTCACCAAAATTGCCAACCGTCTAGGTGCGCCGGGCAGCGGACCACATGAATGGCTTATACTGACGCCCAAGGACAAAATGCCGCTGCCGCTTGTCGTCTCGTTCCCCAAACCCCCAAAGGCACCCGATGGCAGCTTAGTGTACGACCGGGTGCCCAACAAGTCGCCCGACGTTGTGGCCGTTCCAGCTGATAAGGAGCTAACCATAATTCCAACGCAAGCCACGTCGACGATACGAAAGCGGGCGCACGAGGAGCAGCAGCTGAACGGCACTGAAGGTAGGTTCCACGTTGTCTCACAAAACTCAAATCGTAAATCAAGAGTTTAAGTTTGTCAAGGAATTTGAATGGACATATTGTGAGTTATTTTATTTGCTCAGTTATTAAATTGCAAGATTGTCAGAAAAAATGCTCTGCTATTAAGAGGGCAGGATGGTTTCCAAGATTTTTGATATTTTTTTTTCTTTTTTCTGGGTGATAATAAATATTCAAGTTAAATGCCTACATTTGAAGAGTATTTTGAGTTTGATTTTTTTTTATGTTTATTATTTATCCCGTGGCGGCGGTCGGTCGGAGTCTCTTCAAAAAAATAACGTCTTGCGTTGCGTAAAGTATGGACTTACAGTAATATTTAAAAATAAAATACATAAAATTTATTTATTTATTATATAAGATTATTGTGCGGGTTATTAGGCAACTTATTAATTTAGAAGGTTGTCAAAAACTTATGTTTTGTACTCAAGCTAAAGTGGCCAGCGGGAAAAAATACAACTTTTATAACAATGGCGCTGAAGGAACTACAAACTCAAGCATAAATATAATAAATAGCTGTTTAGGAATTTTAGGAATTTAGACAGTTGTAACAGATTCAAGCGTAATCGTCCCTAGGATTATTGATCAGCATTATTTCCGAGTGCATAACGTCATTAGCATGTATCCATATGAGGTTTTACCTAACGTATATGTTTTAGATGCATCATTTGTTATAGGAGGACAGCGTTCATCTTGTTTTATTCTTACTAATTGAGTTCTTCCATTGCAGTTACTATAGTTCCCAGTGGACCCCCTGCCAAGCGTCCCAATAAGGACCCCATGCCCTCGCATTGCCCCAGTCCCGAACAGTTTGCGGCTATGATGGCGGCATCTGGACAACCGCTCTCCAGGCATCATGTGAGTAAAACCTCGATTTTGTCTGGCTTAGTTAATACTGACTGTAATATATTCGTCTTTCAGCTTAATGGCAAACAAAAGATTGCCCAGATGGCCCGTGGTGGCAATGGACGCAAACAAGTCATCAGTTGGATGGATGCTCCGGACGATGTTTACTTTAGGGCCAACGACACACACAAGTGAGAAATAATAAGTTACAAAATACCTGCTTTTTCTGTTTCTACTTTTGCAACATTTGTGTGTAATTTTAATTTATTATTTTAATAAAAAAGAACCGATTTTGTTTTCAATATTTTACTATTTTGCAAGCCAAGTTTATGTTTGTTTTTACGTTGAACATGAAACCCGATAATAAATGTCCTAATAATTGTATTCCTTTTTTTTTTACAGAAAATCGCGAAAAATACTCTCCGCCGTAGATCTGCGCCGCGCGGCGCGCAAACCATGGCGCACACTGCCCATCAAGCCTGCGGCACCTGAGCCGAGTAGCAGGCCCATTGAATCACAAATTGTCATACTGGACTGACCATCGCCGGCAAACACATTAGCAACATCAGCAACATCAGCAGCATCTGCAACCAAGTTGTTATCGTCTTCAGCAAACAGATTCGAGCAGCAACATCCTCCATTTCCATACACCATGGATGCACTGCTTAACTAGTGAGCATTCTCTGGTTTAACGGGCTTGCCATGTACATACCCCCCGCAGCATAGAAGCACACCGACGTGTGGCAAGGCATTCGACTTAGGATCAGTGTAGTTACAGCATCACTGTATGACAACAGCAACCGATAGCAACCACAAAACCACTTTATTAGCGCTTAAATAGATGTCTTTTTAAAAACAAATAGTAAGATAATAAGTGTTAAGGGTCTGTAGTAACAGTAACAGTAACAGAACGCGAGAACAACAAAATATTTATAAATATTTTATATATATTTTTTTTAAATTTAAAATCTCAATACACCGAACGCAAACACACACACTGACTGCACTTTCGCTGTGAAAGTGTAGGCATCAAAGCATGAAACTCAAAAGTTCGTTTTATTTCTTTAGTATACAAAGCATTTGAATTGATTTTTCTTTTAACATTTGCTTGTAAGTTCTTGAGATCTATGTTCTGTCGCTCTTTCAAAACGCGATTCAAAGTTCCACGTTTAATTTCCTAAGCCTAACCCTAGCTAAGAACCAGATACGTAATTATGAAATTGAAAGGCCTCTGTAAGTTTTAAAATACGTTTCAGTCCAGATTTGAATTATATGCATATAAAAAGCTGAAAGATATATTCAAAATTGTTTGAATGCTTTAAATTGAGGAGTGAAGAAATTTAATATTGTTAATGAATGTGGACAAGCTAAATTAAATAAATGAAAACCCATTATTTATGCTGTAACTAATAACGGAAACTTCGAAAACAAATTGTACAGTAAAAGATATAACGTTAAAATTCGAATAAAATGTATTTTCATAATTTATGTAAACAAACGAAAGTTCGGTCACTTAAAGAGCTATCACACACACGCCTACACCCTACACACACACACACACAACCCACACAACACACCCACATATAGCATATTATTATTTACGCATATAAATTAGTATGAATCTAAGCCGCATATACATTTAAAAATGTATGAATAACACGGAAGACAGCGTGGAAGCTAACAAAGAATGTCTAAAAGTAGAGCAGCAGGGCAGGCGGTAACCAGCAGATCATAAACAGAAAACCAATAAAATTAAATGATTATGAAGAAGATTCGATTGTAAGCCAACATACTTTTAACTTTACGATCTAAGCAATTTTGTAAAATAAAAACACTTCAAATTAAAACAGTTAGTTAAGTCAAACGAAGAGGACGGATCGAATGCTGCAACTATTGTCAAATTCAGGCCCATGACCACAGCAAAAGCCGCTCGAAAGTTTAACCAGCAATCAACTGTTAGTTTGTTCTTATTTATTTTCACAAAACATCCAAACTTTAAACATAATCTACCAAAAGTCGGCGACTTCAAGCAGCGAAAACAGCAATAACAAACAGAGAGACAAGCAACAGAAGCAAATCAAACAGAGCTATATACATAATTATATACCTATATATATATATTATATACAGATATACAATATAACAGTACATACATTGCGCATTGGAACATACACAGTACGCATAAACATTTTTACAGAGCAAGAAACTGACGAAAACGACGACGACGGGCGAGACAAGCAACCGAAAAAAGTTTTCCAAATAAAGTTTTAAAACTAAACATTTTTCCTAAAAATATGCAAACATTTGACAATTTTATTTACGACGGTCTTTACAAAATAGTTAACAATTCTTAGCTCCTATTCCGCGTAGCTGGCAATGCAGAGGGAGGCATTGGTTCCTCCAAAACCAAAGGAATTCTTGAGGGCAATGCGACGTTTTTGATCTGGTGACCATTCGGTTGCTTCTCTGACCACATTGACGTCCACATCCAGTTGCTCTATGTTGATGGATGGCGGCAGCTTGTTCTCCGCACAGGCGAGCACCACAAAAAGGGCTTCCAGATTGCCGGAGGAGCCCAGCAGGTGTCCATGGGCTCCCTTTGTGGAGGACACCCTCACCTGAGGCGTGTGGTCGCCAAACACCCGTCCTATGGCGTGCGATTCGATGCGATCCCCAGTGGGCGTGGAGGTCGCGTGAGCATTCACATAGGTGATGTTATCGGGAGCAATCCCAGCATCCCGAATTGCCCGCTTCATAGCCAATGTTGCCCCTGTCCCGTCCTCGCTTGGCGAGGTTATGTGATAGGCATCGCCGGACAATCCGTAGCCCAGAATCTCGGCCAGGATGGGAGCTCCTCGGGCGCGAGCATGCTCCAGTTCCTCCAGCAGAAGGACAGCTGCTCCCTCCCCCATCACAAAGCCATCCCGGGACTTGTCGAAGGGTCTGGAGGCCACCGCCGGATTGTCGTTGAACGCAGTGCTCAGAGCCCGTAACCGGCAAAATCCGGCAATGGAGAGGGGATCTATGCAGGCTTCGCCACTTCCCGCCAGCATCACATCCGCATCACCGTTGCGGATAAACCGCATTGCATCGCCCAGCGCATGGGCTCCCGTGGCGCAGGCTGTGGACACCGAGTGGTTGGGTCCTCTCAAACCGTGCCGCATGCTGATGTGGCCACACGCCATGCTGGGCAGGAGTCTGGGCACAAAGAAGGGGCTAACTCTATTGTAGCCGCGCTGCAACTGGTTCCAGGCTCCATAGACCTCCGTCAGGTCGAACATGCCCATGCCCACACAGACGCCAAAGCGCTCCCGCTGCTCCTCGCTCAGATCCTTGGGGTTCAGCTTGCCGGCGGCCAGGGCCTCCTCCGCCGCCAGAACAGCCAACTGGGTGGCTGGGCTCATCAGCTTGATGTCCGACTTGGTCAGGTGTTGGTCCAACTGCAGGTTATCTCTTGAAATTTGGGCCGCCACCTGGCAGGGCAGTCCCTTGAACTCCGGTCCCAGCCGGGAGATCGCCGACTCACCGGCCAGGATGCGTCGCCAGGAATCCGCGCCATTGTTGGCCAGCGGAGTGACCGCTCCACTTCCCGTGACCACCACTCGCCGGCGGCCAGCTTGCGTGGATGAGTTCCGCACTTGGTGGTGGACCAATGGATTGCAAATCCTTAAGTAACGCATTTCGATGTTTACATGATCATTTTAGTGAGACCGTCCTCGACCGTTGAAATAATCCTAGTGGTTCCGATTGAAAAATACCAAAAAATACCAACATCTAATTAAGATTAATTATTTTTTTAAAAAATCTGTTTTAATACTATTTTTTAAATTGTAATATTTGTAAAAAATTAACAATTATTTCAAAACAAAATCATTTTTAAATATATGTATTTATCATTTTTCAATTACCTTAGAAAAATTTTAAATTATCAGGTTATCAGTTAAACTTTTTTTTACAACAAAAATTGTATGGCTGGAATACCCCTAATAAAATCAGCAAGATGCGCCCAGGGCTTGAGATCCCCTTACATAATTTTGCACCATGAATTTCGCCGGTAAAGTTGTTCTAATTACGGGAGCGAGCTCCGGAATCGGCGCTGCCACCGCCGTTAAATTCGCCAAGTATGGAGCTTGCCTGGCGCTGAACGGACGCAATGTGGAGAATCTTAAGAAGGTGGCCGATGAGTGCAGCAAAGTGGGACAATCGCAGCCAGCTCTGATGGTTGGCGACATCGCCAAGGAGGCGGACACCCAGAGGATCTGGACAGAGACACTGGAGAAGTATGGCAGGCTGGACGTGCTGGTCAACAATGCCGGAATCCTCGAGACGGGCACCATCGAGAACACCAGTCTGGAGCAATATGATCGGGTGATGAACACCAACCTGCGGGCGATCTATCACCTGACCATGCTGGCCACTCCAGAGCTGGTGAAGACCAAGGGCAACATCGTGAACGTGTCCAGTGTCAATGGCATACGATCCTTTCCCGGCGTCCTAGCCTACAACATATCCAAAATGGGCGTGGACCAGCTGACCCGCTGCGTGGCCTTGGAGCTGGCCTCCAAGGGTGTGCGGGTCAACTGTGTGAACCCCGGCGTGACGGTGACCAACCTGCATTCCCGCGGCGGCATGGATCCGGAGACGTACGAGAAGTTCCTGGAGCACTCGAAGTCCACCCATGCCCTAGGTCGTCCCGGGGATGTCAGCGAGGTGGCTGCGGCCATTGCCTTCCTGGCCAGCGATGAGGCCAGCTTCAGCACTGGCGTCAGCCTGCCCGTCGATGGAGGTCGCCATGCCATGTGCCCACGTTAAATCCGTTGGATTTGGGCTATTAGACACCCTTGCATGGTCTTTTCCATGTGTAAATGCATTTATAACGCAGCTTTACTTGTTATTCTCAATTTCTTATTGTTCTGTTGTACATCAAACTGATTACCGTCGATCTTAACATCTCTGTTCAAGACTACCGCTCAAATAGCTTTAATAAAAAGTAATATTTTTTAACGCAATAAAATTGCATAGCACTCATACGTTGTATTGTAATGGTTTGCGTATAACTTATAAGAATTTAATAATTAATAAGAAAAAGGAATGCTAAAATTCATTAAGAATTTCTGTGAGCTTAGTATTGTTTCATCCTTATATCCTTATATATATATATATATATATATATATTTCCAAAAACTGTCATGCTCAATTTAATTCAAAATAAGTTTTCTATATTTAATCGTACACTATACTTTTTTAGTTTTTTTCGTTGTTTTAATCTAACAGTAGTCTAACAAATTATAGAGAAGAAAATTATACCAAAACTTTTCCTACAAACTTCTTTGAACAACATTTCTATAGGAAATGACAAGTCCCATTTATTCGCTTGTAACTCTATTTAAAAAAATATTAAAATTGTTTGGAAAAAATTATTTAAAAGTTAAATTTTTAAACTACAAAAACAAAAAAAATAAAAATCATAATTTTTTAAACTTTGAGGTGCAAGAAAAATTATTATTCAAATTTAAATAATGACATCAAACAACATAAAATAGTAACAATCAAAACTTTTTAAACTTTGAGGTCCAAAGAAAATTATTGTGGTTTAATTCGGAATCTGCACAGAAAAATAAACTTTTATTATTGTTTAAAAGTAGGGAACAAATAAATCAAAAATTACGAACATATTTTTTTTAACTTAGGCAACCAATTCTCAGTTAACAATGATCAAGTTGTATTTTCCCGTAAAGTCATTTTCTTAGCTAAAATTTTTGGCCACAACTCGGTTCGATGGGCAGCAAGGGCAAGGCGAGTCTAGACTTCTCCGGCAAGGTGGTGCTGATCACGGGCGCAGCCTGCGGGATCGGGGCCGCCACGGCGGAAATGTTCTCCAAGCTGGGGGCGTGTCTGTCGTTGGTGGACCGGGAGGAGGAGGGCCTTCTCTGCCTGATGAAGAGATGCATGGAGACGGGAAATGAGCCGTACGGCATAGCCGGAGATCTGCTCAAGCCGGCGGAGATCGAGTGCATTGCGAGGAAGACTACGGAGCGCTTCGACGGCAAACTGGACGTACTGGTGAATGGGGCGGGCGTCTGGTCCACGGGCACACTGCAGGGCACGGAACTGGCCGCCTTCACGCACTTCATGGAGGCCAACGTGCGGTCGGGGTTCTACCTGACCAAGTTGTTGCTCCCCCAGCTGCTCCAGAGCAGGGGCAACATCGTGAACGTGTCCAGTGTCTGTGGACTGCGCGCCTTTCCCAACCAAGTGGCCTACAACATGAGCAAGGCGGCCGTGGATCAGTTCACCCGATCCCTGGCTCTGGACCTGGGACCCCACGGAGTACGGGTGAACGCAGTCAATCCGGGGCTAATACGCACTAATCTGCATAAGGCCGGCGGCATGGACGATCAGAGCTATGCGGAATTTCTGGAGCTCTCAAAGAAAACTCATGCCCTGGGCAGGATTGGGGAGCCAACGGAGGTGGCGTCCGCCATTTGTTTCCTGGCCAGTGAACTGGCCAGCTTTGTGACCGGCGTTACTCTTCCCGTGGATGGCGGCAAACAGGTTATGTGACCCCTTTAATACCTGCCAAGGAGTCCTGTTCACGCGAAAAAGGTCCTTGTCATTTGTTGCCCGCCTTATAAAATCATAACCATAAAAATGCAAAATTCTTAGTTTAAAAGTAAATTAGAGTTCTACAGAATTATTATTAATGGTCTGGTTTGTTTGCAATCATAAATTTTAATAAAATAAAATATATTTCTCTGTCTAATTTCAGGAAAAAAATTGTTTTCTTTTTTGTTAAGTAGAAACATGTTGCGTCCGAAATTGTACCGTTTGAAATATAAATTCCTTTAAAAAAAAACTTCTGAATATTTTTTAATAAATCTTGCTTAGATGAATTTAAGCACCTTCTAAGTATACTGTAAAAAAATAAGGTTCCTAAACTCCATCCAGATTCGCAGAGCTTTGTGATTTTATCGTGTTTTTTGTTAATTGCTGTTCCATTTTTGGCGTGTCTGAAATTCACGAATTTTTTTTATTCTAAGAAGTTTCTAAATATTTTTAGCTAAGTTTTTTACTATTGGTAAAGATGATTAGGAGCTATCCTAGACAAACATTAAAAAAAATAAAAAACCTACTTTTTCACTCTTATTTGGAAAGTTAAGGTTGTCAGCACGTCGCGCCCGAAACCCTCAAATTGCCCAAATACAACAATACAGTTTTAAATTTATGGGAGTTGTCTCACTCAAAAAAGTGCGTTAACGCCCAAGACTTAAGTGACCTAACACGCTTTGTCTAAATCTATATTATTTTTTAGAAGATGCGCAATGATGTCAAAGTTTCCCTAACGACACTTAATGTCAGTTAAAATATATTTTTTAACAACGCGCTCTAATTTACTATGCACTTACATAATTATCATTGTTTGATATTGTATTGTATTTTGTTTTTTATTAGTCTTAGCATCCAAAACTTGAGGGCACATAAATGTGTTGTGGTGAATAACATTACAGAAATAAGCAACAAGATGGGACTGGCCCCCCCGTTCTCATCTTGGACACATGGCATGCCGTCCTCCATCGACGGGCAGGCTGATTCCGGTGCTGAAGCTGGCCTCATCGCTGGCCAGGAAGGCAATGGCCGCAGCCACCTCCTTGACTTCTCCGGGACGACCCAGAGCGTGGGTATTTTTGGCGTGCTCCAGGAACTTGGCGTACGCCTCCTCGTTCAGTCCACCGCGTCGCTGCAGCTCGGTGATGATCACGCCGGGATTCACGGAGTTCACACGGACACCCTTGGGGGCCAGTTCCAACGCCACACACCTGGTGAACTGATCCACAGCCGCCTTGGAGACATTGTAGGCCAGGACGCCGGGAAAAGAGCGGATGCCGTTGACGCTGGACACGTTGACAATGTTTCCCTTCGTCTTGACCAATTCCGGCGTCGCCAGCATGGTCAGCTGGTAGAGCGCCCGCACATTGGTGTTCATCAGGCGATCGAACTGCTCCAAACTAGTGTTCTCGATGGAGCCCAGCTCCAGAATGCCGGCATTGTTCACCAGCACGTCGATGCGTCCGTACTTGTCCAACGTGGCGGATACGATACTTTGGACATCCGACTCGCTGTTCATGTCCGCCGCCACCTGGAGGGCAGATGCTCCTCCAGCTGCCACTATCTGTTCGGCAGTTTCCTTCAGCTTATCCACATTCCTACCCACGATGACCAGGAGTCCGCCGAGGCTGGCCAGGTGCACGGCTGTGCTTGCTCCGATTCCCGAACTGGCTCCGGTCACGATGATAACTTTATCCTTGAAACTGGGCATGTTGAGGCGATCGGCTTGAAAGTGGTAATGACTAGATCTGGCTACGCAAACAAATAATGGTAAGTGACATTGAAGAAGTCAACCACTTTTCGGCGGTACAAGTCGATTATACTATCGATAAAGTGGAACTTTTAAAGCTATTTCTAGCGGTTGTGAAATTCAAAGTTCCTGAAGTCGTGCTTTTTGGTGTTAATTAATTTGGATTTTTTTATGATATCTTGCCGTTGATTCTATTTTTACATACATACAAACATATCTATACCAATCTATGAGTAGTTAGCGTTATTTATTATCTCTTATAATTAAAAAGATAAAAGTTTTTTGAAATAAAACAGTTTCAAACATTTTTGAGATCAAATATTCCATTTCATTCATTTCTATTTAAAAGGTCTTCAAAATTAGTCGTGATATACAAGAATGTTTCTTTTTTTGCAATCATTAAAGTATTTTTCTAATAAAATTAAATTAAATTAAAGTATAATCTCAAACAAAGTCAAACATAAAAAAACATGCATTAAATTAGTTAAATACAATCGTATAACTGCGATTTCTCCATCTTATCATTCTGAACTCAAATACATATATCCTAAAATATCCTGAATTTAAATATTTCCTAAAATTAAAGTAGGATCATCCCAAAGTCAAACTTACAGATGCATATTTTAAATATTGAGTTTTATTTAACTGAAACGCTTTAAATTAATCAGATTGTTAAATGCCATCGGGTAACTGCAATTTCTTGATCTCCATCAGCACCTTATCATCCTGGATTTATCTCGGGCACATGGCATGGCGACCTCCGTCCACCGGCAGACTGATGCCAGTGCTAAAGCTGGCAGCATCGCTGGCCAGGAAGGCAATGGCCGCGGCCACCTCCTTGACATCACCGGGACGACCAAGGGCGTGGGTGACCTTGCAGTGCTCCAGGAACTTGGCGTACGTCTCCTCGTCCATGCCGCCACGCTTGTGGATATCGGTTACAATCACGCCCGGATTGACGGCATTAACACGGACCCCTTTGGGGGCCAGTTCCAAGGCCACGCAGGCCGTGAACTGATCCACGGCCGCCTTGGACACATTGTAGGCCAGGACACCGGGGAAGGCACGCAGCCCACAGACGCTGGACACGTTCACGATGTTGCCCTTGGTCTTGACCAGCTCCGGAGTGGCCAGCATGGTGAGTTGGTACAGAGACCGCACATTGGTGTTCATCAGGCGATCGAACTGCTCCAGACTGGTGTTCTCGATGGATCCGGTCTCCAGGATGCCCGCATTGTTGACCAGCACATCGATGCGTCCGTACTTGGCCAATGTGGCCTCCACAATCTGCTGCACCTCCGTCTCCTTGGTCATGTCCGCCTGCAGTTCCAGGGCAGGAGCTCCTCCGGCTGCCACAATATTGTCGGCCGTCTCCTTTAGCTTCTCCACGTTGCGACCCACGATGACCAGGAGTCCTCCGAGGCTGGCCAAGTGGACAGCAGCGCCTGCTCCAATGCCAGAGCTGGCGCCGGTGACAATAATAACCTTGTCCTTGAAGGTTGACATCGTGGAAAATTCTGAAAACGGTAAGCCACTAGAACCGATAGGCTGATCGACGGTCGAACAGCTGATGAACAAAAGCTCTTCCTGATCAGCTGTTCCGAAAAAGCTTTATGAAAAGTTCTGTCAATCTAACATACACTTAAAAAATATATCAATTACTTTGCTCTTAAATGCAGTTATTTTTGTTTCAAAATTTTAGCTGCAAATAATATTTGCAAAATGAAATCGACAAACATCCCGTTACTCGTAGAGTTAAGGAGTATATCGTATTTGTTGAAACGTATGTAACAAGTAGAAGGAAACGTTTCCGACCGTATTGGCCGAGAAATCAAAACCATTATTTTAAAAGAAGGCATAAATTTAAATTTTCCGGATACTCGAAAATTCGAGGGGGCACGTTATTTTTAAAAGTTACGTTACGTTACAATAACGTTTCTTCTAATTTTATTTGAACAGAAAAAGGAACAGTTTTTTCTTAAGTATTATTAACGTTTTTCAACTGTTTTCCTGCGTTTTTAATTTTAATGACATATTCGGAATAATCCAATTTGTTGATTCCTAAAAACTTTAAATGGACTCATAAACAACATTTAATAAGAATTTTAATTTCCTTAATAAACAATGCTTAAAATGCAACAAATTGGGTAATCTCTGTAACAATTGTATTTATTGAACTGCAAACCTCCGCTCCTTCCATTCGCTATATAGTCCCTCAATGGTCTGTTTGGCCATGCATGGCAGTCTGTCACGCATGTCGCAATAGTCGTGAAAGACTTCCCTCAGTCCGAGCAGCGAGTTCCTGGCCAGCCGCCTCCAATGGTGCAGCAACTCTTCCTCGGACTCCCGACACATTTTGGCCAGGTATAACCTTTGTGTGCGCCGCTGTTGGTCCACCAAGTGATCCATTTTCCGTCGCAGTTCTTTGCCACCTTGTCGTGCAAAGACGCGATTGGAAATCTTTTTAAGATGCGCCTCCAGCTCATTGTCCAACACGACCATTTTTTCAACGAGATGGGGCAGATTGGATGGAAACTGAGGTGCCATTAGAGTTTGAAAGACAGGCCTAGGAAGCTTCATCTTGCTTTCGGTCTCCTGTAGATATATCTGCTCGGGTAATTCATTTCCAGAAGTTTCAAACTCTTCTTCGCAACTGGCATATGCATCATCCAACTGGAAAAGGCCGATTACACGCCAAGCAGCCTGCATAGCTGCTTTCTGGGAATGTTGGCTTGTAGCACTGGCTTGGCCCTCCAACAACTTTCGCTGCAAAAGGCAGATTTCACCAGATAAAGTTTCTTGATGGTACTCAGATGTCCGAGCTTCTTTTAGAAGATGGCCAAATACCCGCTGATTCTGTTGCACCTGGTCATCCTTCTGTTTAAATGTACCTTTTCTTATCTTTGGATAACGCTTTTTCCCAGTTTGCGTGCAGTATGTCAAGCCAAGTTTGTTCGATTTGCCTCCACCACTTTCTCGCTCCTCAGGTTCTTCCTCGTCAGTGGAAAGTGAATTCGGTCTAAGCGTTTTGCGCCACTTGGCCACCCGTTTGCGAACATAAGAGTTATAGGCTTTCTGCTGCTCGCTGTTTCCATATGGCGTTGGTTGAATGTTTTGTTCTTCAACCGTATAGATCTTATTGCGCGGACAACACGTGTCCACGAGGGAGTAGCGAGGACCCTTGTCCGGATTGTTTTCGCTGCTGGAGGAGCTTTCGCGATTGCGTCTTTGGCTTGCAAGATTCTTGTCTTCGGATTCTTCTTCACTGCCAATGAAACGAGACCATCGTTCGCTGCGAGTCTTTGATGCTCCAGGCTGAAAGTACTCGTGGCTGGAACTGGCCTTTTCTCCGGATTTCGGGCAGCGCTTCAATAGATGTGACCATTTATCGTCGACTACTTTCTCAGCAACCGGGTTGTTTTCGATTTTCCTTTCCTGAACTGCAATTGATGACTTTCTTTGGCAACGGCTGCCCGAAGGGTTCTGTTCTGCCAGTTGTCCCGCTTCCAAGCGCAACTCCCCGAGCACCTGCCGCCACTCCAGGACCTGGTCCTTAAGTCTGTTGTTTTTTTCCATAAGCATACTTGACCAAACTCTGACATTCTGGTCACCTTTTGGCTCAGGTTCACCTTGCTGACAACACGACTGGACCTTTGTTAGGAAGTCATTGCTTTCTCCGCGTGGGATCTTCTTGCTAGATGAACGCTGTATGGGATTTACGTCTCCTGGAGGTGATTCCATATTCTGTGGCTGGGTTTTTGTCTTTCCCTCACTTGCAATGATCCTCGTGTCCTGTGTCGGTATACTGTCCTCTCTTATTTGGGCTTCTTCGGTAGCCTGATCTTCACAATTCTGGCTTTTGATCGCCGTTTCCACTTCTATTGTTACCAGATCTTGTGATTTTTTTAGCCTTGTTTTCTCCAAATGATTTTGCAGCAACTCATCCTTTTTGTGACTTTCCAATAGCTTTTCGAATTGCTCCTTGAGATTATTTGCGAACTCTCTTTTCTCACATTCCAGTTGAATTACTTGTTCTCTTCTCTCTCTCATTTGCCGAAGCCTTTCATCCCTCTCTTTCTCTTTTTGGTCTAGCTTTTCACTTTGGTGACTGAGATGATCGTTGACCTCTTTCAATCGATCAAGTCCCTCCACTGATTGCTTATTAGCTTTATCTTCCGTATTTACAGTCTCCTCAATTTTCCTTTCACATTCTACAACACTCTTCAGCCGTTCTTCTCGCTCTTCTGTTTCCCTCTTCTCTTGTAGCTCTTGCATTTGAACCCACCTTGTTAGAATCTGTTCCCTCTTTAGGTCTTCCTCTCTGGCTTTTCTATCCAACTCATCCCTTTCGCTCTTGCTTCGCTTAAGCTTCTCCAAAAGCCTTTTTTCTCTTAGAAGTTCCTCTTCTTCAGCGAGTCTTTCGCACTCATCTTTCTCTCTTTTTTCAAGTTCTTTTGAGTTTTGAGAAATTCTCTTTATTACCTCATTGTACCTTTTTTCTCGGTCTTGCACCTCATTGAGTTTCATCTTGAGCTCCTTAATCTCTCTTTCTTGTCTTTGCATTGCCTTTCCTTTTAAGTCTTCCATTTGCACTATTTCGCTTTTAAGTTGTTCAAACATTTCCTTTTTCTGGTGTCCTTGTGTCCTCTCTTTTTTTTGTTTCTTCCTCGCTTCTTCTTCGGTTGTTTCCTTTAGATTTGTCATCTCAGCATCCCCGAACTGCGTGCGTGACACCTCCACATCCCGCATCCTGAGTTGCCGATCCCGCTTGGCCCTGGCCTTTTCTCGATGAAATTCCTTGAGCTTCTCATAGGCCAACACTTTTTGTCTTACGTTCTCCGCCCGTAGGTGCAATTGCTGCTCGCGTCTTGCACTCTGGGATGGGTCTGATTCGGCTGGCACCGTCATGGCGGTAAGGGACATGTGCCTGAGGTTCTGCTTGGGGTCCTGTCTGGAGGCCTGCTGGAGGACAATTCCAACTTCCTCCACCAACTCTACATTCTGCGATGAAGGTGTGGAAGGACGTCTCCGTGCTCGCGAACACTGATCCTGCAGTCGCTGTTCCTCGCGCTTTTTAAAAAGGAGATAGCGCTCGTAGTCGCGTCGCTCCTTGACCTTCTGTTGCTGCTCGCGCAACCGCCGATCGCGCTGTTGACGTGCCTTTTCCAGACGCTGACGGTCCAGCTGCTGCTGCTTGGCCAGCAGAGTGCGTTGCCTATCCCGCTCCTGCTCCCTGAGCTGCCGCTCGACACGCTCCCTCTCCCGTCGCAGCAGAATCTGCCGCTGCTTACGCTCGCGCTCGCAAAGATCGCGTTCAGCCCGAGCAGAGAGCCCTGGAACATTCACCTGAACGCCAACGGTTTTGGCACGCTTTTTATTCGGCTTGACCCTTATGGGCGGTTGTTCCCGCTTGGGACACTCTTCGGCTGAGAACTCGAGGTTCCACATCTCCTGCTCATCACGCATGTACTGGTCTTCCAGATGATCCAAGTGCTGCACCCTCTTTCGCCACTCGAACGTAGACGAACTGCACCTCCTCCGGGCCAGGTTGTTACTTGATGGCATTGGGGCCAACAAATGGGGCGGACTAGAGCGGCGCTGTTAGGAGTTTGGTTTTAATTATTAATTGGTATTTTCTGTAACACCTTAATTTCGGAGGCCAATTATAGAGTACTTATTAACTGTATGACTTCTTCAGTCGCTTTTATTTTAAGAGCAATGGCGTAGTTTGCCCCTAAAACAGAAATGTATAGACGGATATGAGTCGACAGGTGACTCCAGTGATTTGCATCTCCTTTCCTGCGTTACTAATATCTGATATCAAAAATGTAAAATCGTTTTTTAGAGAATCGTAAGAATTTTCGGTAAGTGTATCCATTAAGCTTTCGAACGGAGTGACTCGAAGCGGACAAAAACGATTTTCTACTCTCATTGGCACCAGCATAGTACACAGTCAGGATATGAATCTTCCTCACCTTTTGACGGCAACTACGCTCTAGGCGGTCAACCAAGAACCGCTTCTTATGACGGTTCATTCCATCTTTCTTGTTTATGTTTGCCATTGAAATGCAATCCTTAGTAAATTTTAATTTTTATATAATTTTTAGTTGCACGATTCGTCTGAAGCCAACTTGAATCAATGACGATTTAATAAAACTCATCCATCCACCCATACTGAGAGCTCCATTCCGGCTTACTTTGCTTTTCAAAACACAACAAACATTCAACAATTGTTATTCCTACAACGTTTTATTAAGCAAAACAATTTCTTAACAAAAAAAAAGGCATAACAAAAGCACCTTTGAGATAAAAAGACAAATGTTTAATTAATTTTGGAAATGCATTTATTTGTTTTTTGTTTATTCATATTTAAATATATTTTCAAACTAGATTTTCAAAGTTTTTTTTATATACATTCAGTCCAGTACAGCGAAATATTTTAGTTCCTTACTTATGTATATGTAACGTAGGGTTCATTTTTTTCGACACAGAGAAAATTCCGGCGTTCAGAAATTAAGAATTATAATTATTTTAAGAAAAGATACCTAAGCTGAGGATATGTGTACTTGAATTTTCAAAAGTAAATGTTCACTTAAACAGAATTTTTGGTCAAAATATAAAAATAATTATCGGAAAAAAAATCTTCGGTTAATTACTAAAAAATATATATTTAAGAAGTTTAAAGTTTGTACTTGTATGTACATGCAAGCACTCTGAAATGCCTTTTAAAATTTGGGTGTAACTTCGAAAATATTCACCGCATAGATATTATATTTTCAGTGTGTTTTCCTAATTATATGTAGATTAATAAAATATAATAAAAGAAAACATTTTGTAATAATTCTAACTGTGTATAACGCCTTAAAGCATTACAAGTTAACTCAAAGTGAGCATTTTTGGACTTGCATTTTTTTTAGTACAAAAATTCTCAGGTTGATAGACTTGATTATTATCCAATTTACTATGCCTTAAAAATAGATTTTAATAACTCCCTTAAAAAATTCATATTTTCAATCATATTGCAAGTATTATTTCAACAAATATAAAATATTCTTTATGTCACAATATGAATTTAGAATGAAATAGATGTAAAACAAAATAAGTTAATTTTTTTACAACATTTCATATTTTACATTTTCGAGATCTTAAACCTTTTTTTAGTTACCTCGAGGATCCTCCTTGGACCGCTACTGCTAATATATAAATAAATAAATTTCAAGCATGGTATCCTAATAGTAGTTTATCATGCTGATTTGTTTGCTAGTCAGAGTTTAAAGTTAACCCGTTTTTACAGCTAATAGTATCATCAACAGTCCAAGAATAATAACTGTCGCGGGTATCTTATAACAATACAAAAGCCTTTTGCGTTCCTTTAAAAGATATACTGTTAATATCGCCAGGGCAACGTCTTAGCATTACGATTGCCATTATATTCTTTCGAGAATTATAGTCGATTAGGCTTGCTTTCAGAAAACACTGATACTGCTTAAAAGTTTTCCAATGAAGATTTTCCTATAAATACAGAGGGGCTCATTGTAAGCATTACATTTATATTGTACATTTTGCAGAATGCGTTTCTTCTTGATCACAACTTTAGCTTTATTGGTAAGCTAGTCCGTGAACATATTATATTAAATATATTAAGCTAATAGCCATGAAATTTTATTTAATTTCAGAGTTATACCTGTGGAGCCCCCACGGATTTCGACAGTTCCACTTCCCGTGATGCGGACATGGTTACGCCAACTAATTTCAACGAAGATGATTCCAAACAGAGTGACCCTCTAGTCGACTTAAATAATCAACCATTGCCTTCGACTATCTCATTGCCCGAATCGGATAAAAAGAGTTTGTGCAAGTTTTTGCATTCTTTTCAGTTCATCAGAATGGAACTTTTAACCCTTATTTGGTCTGCCAACTTGCAATTCATTTCCGACGCAGAAAAATATTTCACAGAGGAGTTTAAAGATCATATGAACCAAACACGCAACGCAACTAGTGGACAAGAGAACTTTGGACTCGACCAAGCTCAGGCAAACCTAGTTTTACAAAACGAGACCGCATTCGAGGAGTATGCCAAAGAAAACGTCGTTCAAGCTAACATACTTAAAATGATGAACTCAATATACAAAGGATTTATAGTCATCAATAAGCATTTACAGGATGACGCCAACAAAATGAAAAGCAATCTGAGCAAGGAAACCGTGCAATCCGAACATGAATTCCTCGTTTTGTTTGAAAACATGAAAGCGCCAACGGAAACCTATCACACCGAAATAGGTGATCTTTTAAATAACGTTGAAATGAGGTACAATCATAGGTATCAATGTTCTTAATAACAAAACCGGAGATAATATAAGATAATAATCTCGTGAATTTATAACCAACACAATGTATTTCTACATACTAACCTTACATTATTTTTCAAATATTGTTTAAAATGTAATAATTATTAGCACGCAAAAAAAATTAATAAAATTTTTTTTTTTAATTACATTGAGTGTCAAAAGTAATTAAGATAGCCTAAATCGAAAAAAAAACGTTTTTTGTAGGTAAAAACGGACCAATTTATAGTTACAAAAAGTTAAAAATTCGATTCAAACTTAAGTACACGCTAAAAATATTTTTTAAACAAACCTTTCGGAAAACTGGAAAATAATTTCTCGGAAAGAAGTTAATTTGAACGATTTTGGCAAAACTAACGGTTAGCTTTAGTGGGAGCAACTAACATTGCCTGAAAAATATTAATGCGCCTAAAAGTATGCACCATTTGGTTGAGGTAAAATCGTATAATTGGTTTGAAGAGATATCTGAAATTGATTTCTTCAAATGTGATTGTTGGGCTTTTATGTCTTTAAAGCTAAGTTGTATTAAATTTTTCTACTCGAATATTAAGTTCAGAGCAATATCTTCATTTAGTTAGGCAACTTTGGCAAGCATCTAATGGATGTGAGAGTCCAATTTATTTGAATTTAATTGAAGTTGAAACCAAAGAATTGGTTCAATCCACATCCACTTTTATGTAAAAAAAACATCATACCCTCCAAGACGAATTTGTTTTTTAAACTAGATGTTGTTTTATTCTCTTTTAAAAAACTGCTACGCATCTGAACGTATGTAAGAATGCCCTTGTTGTTGTCCTTAAACCTCGTAGCCGTAGGATTTGATGATTTTGTTGAAGGGCTCGGCAGCCTTGGCGATGTTTTCACGCGCCTTGACCGTCAGCTTCTTCATCTCGCGGTTGTGCTTGAGGGTGACGCGGAGCTTGGCCTTGCGCTTGCGCTCCAGGCTCTTGATCACGTCCTGGTAGTGCCATCCGACCTCGTGGGACAGGCGACCGACCTGGCAGTACTTGCGGTCGGAGCGCAGGGTCAGCACTCGCATGGCGATGGGCACGACGACGCGGCGACGCTTGTCGTAGGGCGATGGGATGCCGTCGAAGACACGGAGACGGGCGAGAGCGGCCTGGCCACGCTTGGTCTTGTGTGGGATCATGCCTGGAACGAAGATGGAGGAACGTAAGTAAGAGTCGTACAATCTTAACACAAGGTTTAGTTAGCTAAGAGCATCAGTTGAGAGTTGGTTACACGGTTTCTCGTTCAAATAATGTAGGTAAGAATGTGATAATCATCATGTCAGTTGGACCACCTCGCAGCCAGTTTAATTATGCTTACCTAAAAGAGAGAGAAAATGAATTAGTGATGTACAGTGGCTATAAAGTCAGAACAGTAATAGTGACAGCAGCTTCACTCAGTTATGTTTTGTTTACATGACTTCTCATTCAAATAATGTAGGTAATAAGGTTTGAAAACATCATGGATCAGCGCTGGACTAAACTCCTCGTTGGATTGGGTGGGTGGGGATACGTACCTCGGACAGCCTTGTAGAAGATCCGGGAGGGGGCACGGAAGTGGAAGGGACCACGGGCCGGGTTCACGTTGCACCGCTTGCGCAGGTAGGCCAGGAACTTGATCTTGTTCCTGTAGAAGTGACCCGAGAGGTTCAGCTCCTCGCAGCGGACCACAGCGACCTTGCCGCCCTGCAACAGGTACTTTGCGACAACGGAGGCCAGGCGGCCCAGCAAGTGGCCGCGACCATCAATAACAACGGTCTGCAAATTTAAACAAAAATAAATTAAAATAAGAAAACATTTAGAGCATTTTGTGAGGTTAGGTTTGGCGGCCAGCGCATAAACAAATGTGTGTGGGCCAATATTTCTCAATATAACATTGATTTTTAGGTAGCGATAAATGCATTGGACGAGTTATTAGCTCCTGGCCAGTAGACCAGACCAATTTTTCACAGATGCTGCGTTTTTTGGCACGTGTAAGGCGCGACGCTTTTTTGACACTCAAAACAGCACTTTCGCCTGCCTGCTACGCACATTAAATCACTCGCACTGTTGTCCAACATTATGCTCCACGCTTTCCACACATTTGTTTGAGGCTCGGACCGTGTTAAAAGCGTTTTTTCGGCACTTACCCTGTTCGTTAAACCAGTCATGTTTAAGAACCGCACGGAAAGAAGGCGGAAGTGGCGTTGACAGTTCAAGCATCGCTGCGCAGGGTTGCTTAGAGAACCAGAACTAGTTCAGAGCGGAGTTGCCTACGTTGCCACATTTTGAATTTAGCTTGTACACACACCCAACAAAAGCTGCCACATTTTTCAAATATCAACTATTAAATTCTGTAACGATCAGTGTTGGGCAAGGAAAAAGTTTTTTGGATCTAGATAAGGTACAAAGTATTTAATAAATAAGTACCTAGGTAAGCTAACAGGTACTCAATTTGACAAGAATCTAGGTAAGGTAAAGCTACAAAATAGATAAAAAAAACACATCATTTAGTACATATTTTCAATTTTGAGGTCAATTTGTTCTTCACGAAGTTGTAGATGAATGATGATATTGGTGTACGCTCTGGAAATTAAACCTGGTTGTAGAAACGAGAAAAAGAAACATCTTATATCTTTCATATGCGGTGGAATTCATTTTTCTTTAAGTTGCTGTGAAAATATTATACTTTTATTAGCATATTGGCAATTATTATTGAATTCAATTTTGTGGTAAAACAAAAATAAATGAAAATAAATAAAAAATCGTTACCAAGGTAAGGAAAAGGAAGTATCACATATTTTCACCTAGATAAAATATTCAATGTTCAACCAAATTTCAATTTGAAATTTTACCTTTGTTTTTGAGAAACGTTACGCTTCCAAAATTAATTTTTATCTAAAACCAAATATACAGTGTTGCTCAAAAAAAAACAATTTAATATAATGACTTAATTGTTTCATAAAAAAGTTTAATGTTAGATTTTAAGTACTCGAAACAAGTTATTTAGTCGGAAAATTATTTTTAGCTATGGAAGTGTGGCCAGATGTCGGTAAATTCCAAATGCGAACATCTGTTGGCTAGCCGTTTCGGTTTTATTGGCGGAAAAAGCGGCAGCCGCACTTGCAGCGAGCACTCTTCAAAAACTTTCGACCGAACCGGACCGCTGTAAACATTTAAACGCTCGAAATTCGAAACGAAACGCCGTTAATAAACGCGAATTAAATGCAAATTAAAGTCAGCTTCTCATGACGACTGCTGCTGGTTGCGGGCGAGTGCAAGGCGCATGTTTCTCTCCACGAAAAAAGTAGTGAACCGAAAGACTAAAAAAAAGTTCTAAAAAGTGAGTGGGTGGTGTTTTCTTCTCCCCTAAACGAACGCAATTAATAAACAAAGCGGCGGAGCAATAAAGTTTTCCACACGTGATCTAAGCCCAGGAAAAGTGTTCACCTTATAAGGCAAGTTTCGAGTTGCATGCGGCACCCATAAAAACCGTATGTGCGTGCGTTCTAAATTAGATGCCCGATGTCGATGTTCTGCTATTAATTAGCTATAAGTTCCTGTCTGGGGGCAAGTTTCTCGCCCCTTTCCTTTTTTGCTAATTTCGAAATTGGGTCAACGTGTGCGATGCTACATTGGCTGTTCGAGTTTATATGTCTTTTTTTTTTTTTGCTGCTGCTGCCGAACCAGTTTGTTGACCTTGTTTTTCGGCTCTCCAAGTGCAATTGGGGCTTGACTTTTGACAATATGTCCGACTTTTCTCTTTTATGGGGATCGGGATCTACTGACAGGGAATTATGATCGGCGGACATGCAATGCATTTGCTGCGCTGATTTGTTTGGAAATAAATTTTTATCACCACCTAGCAACACGAATCACACACACTCCTTCTTGGGGACATTTCCGTTTTTTCAACAACAAAGGCCAGTTGCGGGTGTCTGTGTGTGGGTGTGTTCGTGTGAATATTATGGGGGTGCCGTTTTTATATTGATTAAATTAACTGTTATTAATTCCGCTGAGCGTTGCGTTCTATGTAAACAACAAACAGCTGTTTTGGGCATTAGAACCTTCAGTGTTGGAAAACGTCACGCCTTAGATCGCTGATCAAAAGCACATTATCGCTGGGAAATAGGAAACAAAATTAACAAATGCTTCGCGTTTAAAACATACTTTATTTGTGAATTGATAGCTTGTGAATTCCAATTTCGTCTACGGCAACGCTAACTTGTAATCAAGTTACAAATAATATATTCTGCAAGAGCTAAACGAAAGGATTACTTACCACTGGAAAGCAGGTGGCAACTGGAATAAAATCGGACATTAAATTAAAGTTCATTTTTCAAAGTGATACATGATAAATTAATTAGCAATTGCAAATAAAGTGTGTTGAGTCGAACGTTAAAGTTATTTATTTAAAGCTTAAATTACACAGAGAAATTAGAGTGACAAATAAAGTGATAAAGTTAAGCTCTTTTAGACTAAAAGTAAGTACAAAGAAGTTTATATTTTTCCCTACATCAATTTTACGGCTTTTTCTTTTCCAGATGCCCGACTTTTATGAACTTTTGAATGTGCCATCAACGGCCAGTTTCGATGAGATCAAATGCAGCTACAAACAATTGATATTACAATGTCATCCCGACAAATTACGACAGCTCGATGACCCAAATCCGGGATCGGAGGCCCAGAACAGCGACTTCAATGCGATAAACGCGGCGTGGAACACGCTCAAAGATCCCATTAGGCGCAAGCACTACGATGCTGAATTGCTGCAGTCGAAATTCCAGGCACACAGCAATATATACGCCAGCGTGAAGTTGGATGAAATGCAGCGTATCGTAGTGGAAATCGAAGAAGACGACGATCCATCTGCCTCCTCCTCCTCCGCCCAAGAACCCGACCACCACCCGGCAGACAAAGAGCCGGCGACAATGTGGAGCTATGCGTACGACTGCCGATGCGGCGGTCAGTATCTGTTCGATGGACCCGGAGACGATGAATCACCCGAAGTGATTGTGGAGTGCAACGAGTGTTCTTTAGTGATTATTGTGAAACAGCCCACAACATGTAAATAAAACAGACAAGGGGAAATAATGGTACTGCTGCCCAGCACAATGCTTGTGATTTAAACTATTCGATTAAGAGCTCTGTTAAAATTAACTTTTACACTCCGTTTATTGGTTTTTTGAACCCCGGCCCGGCGTACTCTCTTCATATGCAAAGCATGTTGTCATCGGCGTCGTGCATTCGACATTTAACCGTGCCCAGCCCCTTCTTCTTTGTCGCTTGTTGTGCCCAAAAGTGATGTAACTTGATGGTACATCATTTCGATTTGGGTTCCCCCACTCCCGCTGTTTATTCACTTTGCATACGTTTCATTTCCGCTGCGCGGGGAGAAATTACCAAAGTCTTGATGTCTTTGGCGCGTGTGAATTGTCGGTGGTTTGCCAAATTACGAGCAGTTTGCTGCTTATTTATTTTGGGGAGTTTTTGGGTCAAGTGTTTGATGGACTTTGACAGCATTATTGGGCTCGCTAATCCGCAGTTATGACAAAATACGGATAGAGTTTGTCGATGATCGATTTGTAATAGACTTGGCTTTAATTTTTTGATTCATATTTATGACTTCATTTATTACCAAAGTGCTTTCGCATTTTGCTTTTTATGAATATTCTCTTGAATAACAGCTTGCATTTGAGTGATTTAAGAAATATACATTATCAACTTTTTGCAATCACTTTATCACATGATTAATATGATTAATCTAATATTAATATAATTAATCTAATCTATTTAATTTGCGTTAATTTCTCATTCCACTTCAATAGTTATATTTATTTGTATAATGAAAGAAGTTGTCAAAAGATTCCTACAGAGGCATTAATTAACAGTTCTGATTTTTGGATAATGAGTTTTTTCACTATATCCATGCAGCAGAAGTTAAACTCTTTACCTCTTGAATTGAAATCTCTTACTTGAACACCTATGGTCGTTAAGTTTCATTCGCCCTAAACGAAAAAAAAAACAACGGTTTTTTAAGCTCCTTAAATGTAATTATAATCACTCGCATTCGCCCATTTTTCGTTTTTTGTTTAAATTCAATAACCCCGCCCGATCGCAGCAACGTCGACGATGATGTCAGCAACTGCAAAAGCACAGAAAGCGCAAAATGTTTATAAACGACTTCGAGAGCAGACGAAAAAATCGAGTACACATTGGGTATCCATTTGTTTATGATTATTGCAAAGTAATTTGCGGTCGACACGGCAAATTACGCACACCCAGTCTTCTGGGGAGTTTCTTGTACTTTATTTTTATCAATTCCCCCTTTGGAAACTCTTTTGCCACCGGATAAGTACGTCACTCGATTGATAATTAACGGTTGTCTAGCTTTCGTTTTCTAAACATGCACATCGCACATACATACATATATAGTATATGTATGCCATATGCTTGTTTGTGCATAAATGTTATTTACATAAAACGGCAGACAAGCTTGATAAACACTTGATTTCCAGACCCAGTTCGAGTTAAATCAGAAAACAAAAGTCAGAGGAAAATGTGCGTACCTTATAAATACATACTGCTACATTTATATGAATTAGGCACTGGAAAAAATCGGGTATTTATAAGAAAAATAATTTGATTTAGCTTCGATCAAAACTCTTGCGTTGGTGTTTTCTATATATATATAATTTAGTTGTATTTTGCTTTCTAGTAAAGTAGTTTTGGAACTACATATTATTATATGTACATGATCTACTTGGTAAAGAAATTTGTTAAAATTCTAAATGTACCAATTAAGGATAGGTAAATTGAAACGTAACCCTCCTGTCTTTTGGTGTTTCAAATATCTAAAATAATTTCCGTTTAAATTGAGTGGTATTTTTATCTCAGTGCAGGCATTTCTCTGGTATATTCCTATTCATATCTCTTGGGCATCTCTCACTTTAATAACCTTTTGACACAGAAAATTGAAACGCTTTAGCGCATTTGCCGCTCGTCATTCCCTCATTCCGTCAATTACTCCGGCTTGGCTGACTGTCTTCTGTTACGTGCTGTTGTTGTTGCAAAAGCTGTAGCTACACAGAAAAAAAATATAAGAATATGTCGATTAATTGGTTGATTTTACAAACTGGTATACTGGTGATTCGATACTTAAATATTGAATATATTTAAAAATAACATACATTAATATAAAATCAAGACTCAACTAATATAGTAACGTATGGAAAAAATTAACAAAAAAAATAATAAAGAATTGATGTTAAACAAATTTAAACACCAAGTTTAAACAACTTATGATGATAGATAAAATAGTCTAACGTAAGTGACACAAAAAGGTTTATTATAGCTAAGACAAAGTCACTCAATTTCTATTTAATAAGATTAAGTTAAAGCATGTCAAAGCTTTTAATACTTATACTTTAGCTTACAAATTTAAATGACTTGTAAATCAATGTGTTTTTTTTTACTAAGGCTCGACATTATTTAATATTTACAAGTAAAAAATGCATTTGAATTTAACGTTTACGTGTGATTGCCATGCAAAGTTTATTATTTTTGACCTTCTGTATCAATTTTGCATACAGAGGTTTTTTTTCTGTGTACCTCTTTTGTTGCAGTGTGACACGCGCCGCAGCGCGATTTGAGATAATAACGTTTACGTTCGCTCTCGGAAAGTGCAGATATGTTGGCTACAATAAGCCGGCTCGGAGCTCCAGCCCCAAGTCGTCAACCGTCTCCAAGTTCCAGCTCCACATCTCTGCCCTGCCGCCTGGCACTTTCATTTTGTTTTCACTGCGCATTAAAGACGCTTGAACAGCTTTAATTGCCCAATGGCCAGAAGGAGAAGAAAGGCAGCGGAACACGTGTAGAAAGCCCAAGAAGTTTGGAATAATCCGAATCAACGGCGGAAAATGCTTGTCATACCCACATAACTATTGCTGTGATCTAAGAGAAAAACATAGATACATTAAATTGAAATTTTCTTAAGAAAAGGGATCATATAGCCACAGATATTGGGTCACTACCGTATACAAAAGATTTCAATCTTGTAGTTTATTTTAATATCGTAAGGTTATTTTGTTTTTATTCCTAAAAAAAAATTATGCCAAATTTTTAAAACAACTATAACATTTTGAGTAGAAGCTTAACTCATTCTGGCTACGTTTCGATTCGGTTGATGCCATTTTAAATAACTTCAGTTATACGTCTTAAAGCCGCAAGGTAATAATTAAATTTATTAAAAACGGATCATAACCAAATGCGGTTTCTCTCATTAAAACTTTTTTTTTGTTATTTGATTAGACTGTGTAATAAATATACATACGTATAAGCTTTGAGAACAGTTGTTTTAAATTTTTATTAATGAATCAGGTTTCGCTTGGAGGACCTACCAAAACAGTTGATCAATGCCATATAAATATAAGATGATTCGGTTCCTTACGGTATTTGTTCAGATGGGTTGGGGATATAATTTCAATGGAAACGTATCCAGACAAAAGAAACACACAAGATATTCGCCAGAACTATTTGTGCCTGCAAACCACGAAGATCGTGAGTGGATAGCTTCAACAAGCCGTCTTTTTCTGGTGCTTTCGTCTGAGTCTTTTGTGTCTTTCTCTCAATCTTAATTACACAAAAGTGCCAATTAATTGTTGATTTTTTGTAGCTTTTTTTGCTATATTTCTTAAGCAACTTGGCGGCTTCCCAGGCAACGCCTCGGGCCATATATGAAGTTCTGTTGTTCTGTTTCTGCTTTTAAATCTGTGGATGCTTGCCCAAGGTGTCCGCATCTGTATCTCTATCTGTATCTGTATCTGCGAGTGTGTAGCCGAGTGAAAAGCAAGGTAACAAGTGGGGCAGCAACTAGAGCAGACAAACTTCAAGCAGATACGGACACCTCCTCCCACACAAGTCGCCCGTATATTCCAGTAGAATAAATCGCACATCTCTGTACGTCACTGACTTTCTGGAGCAACTGTTATTGGTTGAAGCTGAATAAATATACTTTGTATTTAGACTGAGACTTCATTATTGCAACGACGAAGGACACATTACACAATAAATAAATTTACAATTTTCTATTACCTGAAAATTAGCCAAATATCCTTTAACAGTCTATATGTTTTTGAACGCTTTCATTGCAAAATATATGTAACAATGTACATAAAAAGAAAATGCATAAAATCTAATCGAAACGCCACTCTTTTTTAATCGTTGCAGTAGCCACGGTGCGTAGCCCACGCCCACAGAGTCGTCAACCTGGCTGGGAGTAGCAGCCTCACCATTGACCGCCCTAACAAGCACTACCAAAAGACTGAAACGCCGACCAGCCAACGAGCAAAGGGAAGAAAGAAGATGGCCAGCACCGGCGAGATCTGGTTGCAGTGGTTCTCCTGCTGCTTCCAGCAGCAGCGCTCCCCATCCCGCCGCCCACACCAACGCCTGCGCATCGACCGGTCCATGATCGGCAATCCCACCAACTTCGTCCACACGGGCCACATCGGTTCGGCGGACGTGGAGCTGTCGGCCAACCGCCTCAACGCGATCTCAACCCAGATGCAGAGCAAGGGCGGCTACGAGACCAACTCGATACACTCGCTGCATGTAAGTTGGCTTAACCAGCCGATTGGTCACCTTTACAGGACAACCTCTTTAAGACGAACCAAGCAATAGACTGACAATAGACTCTCAAGATCTCTTTGATTTATAACATGTTATTTTAACAGCCATTCAACACTTTGTAGTTGAACTATCATAGATTATAAGGAATCGTAATAACTTTCCGATAAAGTAATGCAAAATTAAGTAACAAAGGTTTCATTTAGAGAAGTTTTGCTGTACACACACGCGGGGCGCTCTTGTTCTGTTGAGTCATCTGTTTTGTTTGGCTCCCCGCTTGGCGGCTTTCTTAATGTGCGAATCACGTCGTGATTCGATTGTCGCAATCCAAGAACCTTTTGGACACTTAGCACCTACATACACACGTAGATAATAGATCTTGAGAAGCGAGGTTCAGGGTGGAGGCTAAAAATTGTGCATACGAATGGAGACTAAAAAATGTTCATACGTATATTTAGTTCCATTTTGTGTATATGGATATATTTGCATATGTTCCTAGAAACAGAAGACAAAGTTTTAGGATATCAGCTTAAGTGCACAGGCTCATCTAAAAGGGGTAACCACAAGAATCGATTCGTTTTTATTTATTTCATATCTTCAAGTGAAAAGAACAAAGAAACCCCAACCGCAAATGTATTATGCAGATAAATAAAAATGTACATTTCGTTGAACAAATAAAAATTTATAGTAGTTAAGGATATTCTTAAAGGTTTTAAAAAATCAGATCTTTTTCTACCCATTGCGGTTTTAATTTTTAAAATTTGTTAGCTTTCTATGTGGAAATTTATTTTATAAAATCAGCTTTATTACGAAATTATAAATCAGTCTCCAATTTTAAGACAGAAACCGCAAATACCAATTAAACTGAAAGCTTAACCAAAATCCCAATGATTGTAGTTCGCATCGAGCGGCAAACAACACACCCCACTAAGTTAAATTCAATTAATATACCCCCATTTTTCCGCCCCCAAACAACCAACACACATGTGCATGCCGAGCACTCGTTTTCTGGGACTCCGATGGCCGATAACGTCGCCCCTCCCTAATCCCTCCTGCCCCGCCCCTGTCGCCGATGGCCACATTTGTATAACTATAGTTAATTGAGACAACGGAGCTGTTGAGCAGTGCACTATGGGCACGGTCTAGTGCATCGCTTAAATGGTTGACAAGCAATCCTCGACTCATGTTTCTTTTGGTTTCTGCTCTTCATTCACAGGCCTGCTGATGGAAGCCCACAATCACCTCGCTACATCCCCTCCCCTCCCCAATCCCCGCTATAAAATGCATCTCGTGTAATTTGGTTTCACCGAAGGGAGCGGAGCAGTATAAAAACTTTTTACAATTCTTTGTTGTGGCGTGTTATCAGGCCAAGATGGCAAAAACCAAGAGGGCGGGGCCAAAGGTGCACAGTGCTGGAAACCACAGGGGATTTTGAATAAAGCACATTTGAATTAGGATCCAGATGGAAACCAGACGAATACCCGACAACGGATTGCATTCCGACTTAGATCCGCGGGCCGCATTGTGTTCCAAGTACAGAATTTGCGCTTATTTGCTTTTTGTGAGTATTAGCTAAATGAAAAATCGCAAAAAGAGTGCCAACCGACTAAAACCAATCAACACTTGAGCCTAAAACTAAAAATATATATATATAACATTATGTAACATTTTTTTAAATGTACTTAATGCCAAACAAATCAAGATGGAACTACCCCAGTTGAGTTCCTATCCATAATAATTTACATTTCCAAAGCCCATTTTAGAGCACGAGTAAAGTTTAATATTTAATATTCTCTTACGAAAACTGCCTTATAATCAATCAGTTGCACACAACCAACAAAAAATAGTCTGACGTATGATATTTGGCTGAAATGGTGCAACTAGCGAATCTTATTTTACAAAAGCTGACTTAGCATTTACACAAAGTTTTTGACTGTTTACGAAACAAACTGTCGCACAATCACATTCAACACACAAAGTAATCATGATATTTTCTCCATTCGAATATTTGTAAACTTTTTTTAGTAGAATAAGATCGGCAGCAGACTGGATGGCATGGTTTTTAGGCAAGTGACAATTCAAGCGTAGATTGACGAGTACCTTTGTAGAAACCCACATCAAGAATAAGAAATATATATTTGTAAAATCAAACGCCGTTGTAGATAACACAGAAAAAAGAGTTTAAACATGCGTTGGGTTTTAAGCATATAGACTAATTGTATAAACAAATATTTAAGCAATAATTTATGGAAATATATGTATACCTATATATTTTAAAAGCAACAAGCCGTAAATATATCGTGTTTTTTTCAATGGCCAAACAGTAGCGGGTACTTTGGAAATTATCTACCGGCATCACGGTTCAACGGACAGCTAATTGCACATCCTAAGTGCTTTTTGCTACACGCTCTAATCGAGCAAATAAAATTTGGCCATATGGGGCGCGATTATTTCAAAGCCAATAAATAATGAGTGTTTAAAATGTTTGGACTCTTGGTGAGTAAGTGAAATTTTCCAAATGATTTGCCACCCAATTCAAGGTCGGTCATTTGACAAATACATTTATTTTCCTGTTTTTGTAAAGATTTTTAATTTATATATCCTTTTGATATGCTTTTTTCGAAGTTTGAATAATATTATTAAAGTATTTTATATTTTTAAAAAATGATATAATTTTATTTCTGAAATTTTAACTCATACCTTAAAAAAACTTTATGAGATAAAATTTTAGATATAATATTATATCATTTTTTTTAGCCTTTACTAAGCTCTTCAAGACTTGAATTACCTCATAGACCACCGCTTTGAAAACAACTTATATAGTTATTAAAAATAAACTCTTTAATTGCAAACTTGTGTACAAGTTCTCAGTTCACAAGATCTTTAGAAATTAAAATAAAAGAATTAGTAAAATCTTTCAGGACTGTACTGTGTGCCACTTTAGAGAATTGATTTGGATATTTTTGTAAACAAAAAGCGCTTTTCTCTAAAACAGGTAACATTTCAAATTTGTAACCCTAAGTATTGTAATTGTTGAAAGATTTGTAAAGCAACCGAGGTCAACACCATTCACGTTCTTGAAACCCCAGCTTAAAAATGTTGCAAGTAAACATAGTAAATTTATTTTATTGGTCGACTTTGAAACACAAACAAATTAGACCAACCTAATCATCGTTGTCGCTTCCCGATCCGCTGCCGGAGCCACTGCCGCTACCGCTTCCACTGCCGGACTTACTGCTGCCGCCGCCACTCTTTCGACTGCCTTCGTTATCGCTGCCGCTGGCGCTCCCACCGCCGCTCTTGTCACTCTTGCCGCTCTTGGCGCTGCCGGCATCCGATTCGCTGTCGGAGTCCCGAAGCGCTTTGCTGGCCTTGGCTTTGTCCACCTTCTTGCTACGGCGCGCCTCAAAGTCGGAGCCCTCGTCGTCGTCCGAGGAGTAGATCGTGGAGGCCTTCACCTCCGCCTGCCCACCGCCGGAACCCTTCTTGTAGCGATTCTTAATGGCACTTAAGCTAATGGCATTCTCGTCATCGCTGCCGTCGTCGTGCTGGTAGGATGAGGTGCCGCCACCCAGAAGCGGTTCGCCGGCGCCCGGTTTCTTCTTCTTGGGCTGCGCCTTGTGCTGATTGCGCATTGCCTGGCGCAGCTTGGCCTCCTCCTCCTTCAGTTGCGTGGGCCTATCCGTCGTGGGATCCTTGCCCACCTGCGTTAGGATCTTGATTCCGCTGGTCTTGCTGGATCGATCGGCCAGCGACATGGTCATCTTTTTGTGCGTGAAGGACTCCGTGGAATGGGGGCGGAAAGTGAGCTTAGTCCTGAACACCGACTGGCCCTGCAGACCCGTACCCTGGCGGATGAACAAATGGTTGTGGTCGCCCAGTAGCGGCTGCCTGTAGGCATCGAAAATCTCGTTGCCCAAATGGAGGGACATGCTGCCGTCGGACCAGCGTACAAAACGCGCATTGGACTCGCGCACCATGTCGCCCTTGTTGTTCATAAATTCACGCCAACGGATCGTGTTGCTCACCTTGAGCTTGATGCGTTGCCTTCCCTCCTCGTCCATGGTCTCCTCTTCATCGATTTCATCTTCATAGGTCTCTGGATCAAAGGGATGTGTGACCACTGACAAAAAGTTAGGGAGCTTGATGAAGTGTTGCTCTTTTCCGAGGTCCGCAGAGATGCGTGGAATCTCCACATCGATTCGTGTCTCGGGCAGAGGCTCAGGCTCATCCTCTTTGGGTGCCTGCTCCACCTGGGACTCGGCACGATCGCGGGACCGGGATCGGGAGCGAGAACGCGAGCGGCTCATCGAACGACTGCGTGATCGAGACCTACTTCTGCTGCGGCTCTTGGAGCGTGCTGGTGATTTACTGGTGCCTGGCCCAGGCTCCTCCTCATCGTCACTAATATCGTCGGCGTCGCCAAAGATGTCAGCTGCGGCAGGAGCTTTCTTGGCCTGCAAAATTTTGAATGTACAAAATTAGGGTAACAATCATTTGTGACTTATTATATTTCTTTTCCATAAACATCTTTTATTTAACTAATTCAATAACGCAGCTAGACTCACCTGCTCCTGGTCGGAGTCGCTGTCAGAGTCGATCAGCCGGGATTTCTTCGCTTTGGTGGGCGATTCCTCCATGTCGCTATCGCTGGCGCTCTTCTGCTTCTCCTGATCGGAGCCACTTGCCTTACGTGCCTTTTTTTTGGGCACGCCAATGTCGCTGCCGGAACCGGATCCACTGCGGCTGCGACTCCTGGTGGGCGAAGGTGTTCCCGTCTTGGAGCGCGATCTGGAGGTGCGACTGCCACTCTTGCTCCTACTCCTGCTCCTGCTACGACTGCCGCTCTTGGAGTTGGCACGCTCATCGTCGATCTGCAGATTGGGAGAATTGGAGCGGGATTCTTCGTTGCCACTGCCCTTGCGTGTGCCACTTCGCGAGCGGGATCGAGATCTAGCGCTCTGAGCGGAGCCAGATTTGCGACTGCGGGCGGATCCGGATCTCTGGCTGCGTGCCGATCCTGATCTACGACTATGGGGCGACCCGGATCTGCGACTTTGAGGGGATCCCGACTTGTGACTTTGGGGGGACCCGGATCTGCGGCTTTGTGGGGATCCTGATCTACGACTTTGCGGAGATCCCGACTTTTGACTTTGGGGGGATCCTGGCGACCCCGATTTTCGGTTGCGGGCAGAGCCCGACCTGCGACTTTGAGCAGATCCTGATCTTTTGCTATGAGCGGAGCCCGACCGCTGGCTTTGCGCAGATCCCGACCTGGCACTTCGTGGAGAACCCGAGCCGGAACGAGATCTGGAAGATCTGGAGTCCGATCGAGATCGATCGCTACCACTGCCAGACTTACGGCTGCGGGGGGACCTGGAAAGAATATTCCACTTAATCAGCACACTTCTCACGCTTCTTCAAACGGTGCAATAACTCACCCGGGTGCACTGCCTCCTTGCGGCGTGCCACTGCGGCTGCGGCTACCACTGCGACTGGAACCGGATGAACCTATGTAAGCACTGTAAATACCATTTCCTCAGGTCTCGAAAACGCCAAACAACTTACCGCTTTCATCATCCGAGTTTTGGTCACGCATATTGCCAAGTAAACTCGATTAAAAAAATAGGACCTCGAGAAAAAGAATTCGCGGCCGGGCAATAAAATTGAGTTTGGGACGTCTAGGCACTGTCAGACTTATCGATAACTAAATCCAGCTGGGAGACCTTTGCACGGACCGACCAAATGGCAGCTCGCGACTATCGATTAAATGTAAACAACTATTTGAATAATAATAAAAGGCCAAAATATCTATGATATAACAAGAAAAATGTCGAAACTTGGTCGAATAAAATGTAGAATCAAGATCATAAAGCCTTTAAAGCGCACGCAACGCCTTTTTATAATCAGCCAACTATCGATAGCAGCGCTGCACCGATAGCAAATTTTTACATCCCTAATTCCTGTGTGTTTGTATTCGTGACAGCCACAAAGTTTTTTTGCGGAACATTTTTGTGTACAATTTAGAGCCATTTCGGGCGCTAAAAAATTGCTTACTGCCCCTCGATAGTGGATCGTGAAGACACGGCTCCACCAAGCTCGAGTGCATTTGCGGGTCGGTGGCGTAAAAAACACGCAAATCAAGTGGAGAATTTACCCAATTCGATGCTTCGGGTGAAATTTCAGTGAACTGAGAAAACAAAGACAGACACACACACAAACACACACACAGGGTCACAGACACAGTGCTTGTGCAGCAGTGAAGAAAGAAGCAGAGACAACAGCGCAATAGCGAGCAATTATTTACTTACAAATAAAATACAAAAAGGAAAACACTACCAAAAACCATTGCCCAATCGGAGTGTAATTGTAACGTGCGCGAAATTTGCAAAAGCGTGAAATAAGAGTGGTCGCAAGAGCGGCGCACAAAAAACGGAAAACTTTTCGCCTCCGCCAGGCATCAACATCCTTCGGTACTCGGACTCCCTCTCTCCGCTGGCTCTCTTTCTCTCTCTGGCACGGAGACCACGCTGCATACAGACGAGGCATATACACACAAACACCGATATATATGCCATTTATTTAGGGACGACACGGCGCGGAAAAGTACTAACTAACCTCGCTCCCGCTACGGTTCCAGTTCCCGCTCCCGTTTCCCGTTGCATCCTTCCAGCCAACCGCCAATCAGCCTTCCAGCGAGTGAGTGCGAGAGTGCGAACAAACTACAGCTAACCAAAGGCTGCCCAGTGGGAATCAGATATCCTTGCTGATCCGCCACAGCTACGGCGCCAGGACAACGACTCCCACGTCCTCGTCCCGCCGGCCGCTTTGGAATGTTAAATGCGGTGAGAACGATCCGATCAGTGTATGTTGTTGTTGCTGGACAGAGTGGAAAGCGAGCGTTAACAGTGGAAGTGCAAGAAGCGGCAGTATCGTCTAACGTTAATTTAGGTAAGTTGCGCAGCTTTTCTCAATTTATACGCTTGCTAACCAAGGTTACATGGTTTACTTAGCCCGAAAGTTTCCGCTCGCCAGTGTTTTTGTTGTAAGCGCGGGCAACAGTGTTGCAAAGCGGCCGTTGGGTCAGCTGATAAAGTTACATGCGCAGGGCAGGTAAATCCGCAATCAGCTCAGCTAACCTGATAAACCAATCGGTTAGGTAGCCTAATCGCTATCATTACCAAGCACTCAAATTCCGTGGATATTAGTCCATGTGGAGGGGGAGGGCCATCGCTCTGACCAACATCAAGTCCTGTGCGAGTCGGTGGTGTAAGAAACACTGGATAAACCGCACAACAATTGGGACAAGAGACACGCATCTTATAATACAAACTTTTACTATTTTAATCAGATTTAATAAGATTTTGACACAAAACGATTATATAGGACGATTTGGAAACTATTTGATTTACTAGCTGAGTAAACCAAAGTTATAATAGAAATGTACATAGCAAACCATTTTCTAAAAACTATTTTCCAAAGCCTACTTTGGTACAGTTATCGTTTCTAAAATGAAGTATTTATTAATTTCCAAACTAAAAATCTCAACCAAAATTAAATAGTGTATTAATTATTATTATTTTAGGATAAAAACAAAATGAAACCTTAAAAAGTCTATGATTCAAATTTCCGATAACCTTTTTTTCTATTGCCTATTTTTTATACTACCTGTAATTTAAATAACTATTTTACATATTTTATTTAGCTCGACTCCCCCTAGTGATGCTGGTCAAGAATATATATGTATAATTAACACATTGGGAAATGCCCCAATCACTAAGCATACAATGACTTGCCGAGTGCAATTACATTTTTTTCAAGAATATACAAATTACGGATGTGAAGTTTGATTTAAAGTTAAGTTTTCCTTATATTCTTATAAAAGTTTTTGTCTGACCTTTTTTTTATATACAATAAGTTGATATGAAATATCAGAAAGTGATTGTTTTTACTGTACACCTTTTTGCATTTTGCTGCACTGCTTCACCACTACCTGCATAGTTGATCGTGCGACAAGTGCAGGTGTATCCTTTTGCATTCGCCCTGTGCTTCTCCCGCTCTCGCATCCTGCCGCCAGTCATTCTGGTTTTCTCACCCACACCATTGCCATTGTCATCGTCTCCATCTTATCCACAAGACCTGTGCATGTGTGCCCACGCCAAAGAGGAACGGCAATAATTGCCGCAGCCTTTATGCCTGTGTTTCTCCTCCTCGTCAATTTACTTCTCGCTCTCTTCTTTGACTTTGTTTGCTGGCCGAATTCGCCAATCGACAGCTGATGCGACGGCCATTTAACAGATTCGAAGCGAGGGCGATTTTTGTTTATTAGCGGTGTATGTTGGTAACCCTTTCTGGCATCCAATTCCAATGGAAGGTACGCAAATTAGACTACACTACCTACTTATGTGTATTTACGACTGGCTATGATTTGACTGCGCCCAAGGCTCCTCATCCACAGTCCACAGACTTGTTTGTTTATTTGTTCAACACGCATATGTTCGCATTTAGTGTGCGACAATTATCTGCGGGGAGCCGATTTGTTATCACTATAAGTCCCCCTCCACTGAGTCACATAGAATAAAAACTCTTGTTTATGGGTAAAGAATTTTCCCGATTCAGCCTTTTGACAGCCCGGCATGTTTTAAAATACGGCGCAGATGGCTCTGAGTAATTCCGTTGGCGAACCAGAACTCGAAATCGCCCAGAATATAGTTGATAAGAGTGTGTGAACTTTTAAAACTAATTATCAAAATGTTGATATCTATATATTTTTTAAATGTCTAAATAGTTGAAAAAATAATAAAGCAAACAAGTAATTAAAAGAATGATACTTTGATTGTTACTAAAGTTTTTTGGCATCGTTTATATTTTTTTGTAGAAATCTCCCAAAACCATTATAAACTATATATCGTCTCCGAATATTCACCTTAAAGGGTTGGAATAACCCCTGAATTGAATCGTTTATTTTTATGGGTGTTATATATCGATAAGAATCCCATTGTGCTGACAAAAGCAAAACCACATCTTATTAACCGGCTACCCCTTCCCTTGCAGATTATGGCGAATTTAAATTTCCAACAACCCCCGAGAAGTATAGCGAACGCGGCGTTAGCTGGCCGGACAACTGGCGGATTCGGTGGTAGCTCCCTGGCTGGCCATGTGACGCCCACGTCGGGCATGTTCCAAACCGGTAAGCAATTGCTAACCCAGAGGATTTGTCGGAGCATTCCACTTATTCTTGTGTGTCGCAGACTTTGCCAACTCCTATCCAGGAGCGGCGAACTACGGACAGGCGCCACAGCAGCAGCAACAACAGCAGCAGCCGCCGCAACTGTCGCCGAACCGGAATGCGCAGCTCTCGGTCGGCGGACCCGCCCTCTCGAGCGGTAACCGGAACGCCAACCTCTTCGGCCAGCGGCAGTTTGTGGAGCGGCGTGCCATGCAGGGATTGGGCAGTGGCCCCATGGTAAGCAGCCCGCAGATCAGTCCATCTTCTCCAACTCGAGGTTTTTTAAGTCCACTTGGACTACTTATATGTTACTGTTTTACTTAAATGAATTTATAAATTTTAAATGGATTTCGATGTGCAAGTAATTGCAAAAAAAAATGTTATACCTAAAATTTATTTTTAGTTTCAGTATTTTTTAATTAGGTGTCAACAACTGCAACATTTTGAAGTTTAATAAGATAGATGGTGTTCGTCCAAAAAATCTGTCACTGCCCACAGTTTCAAATCTATACCATTTTTTATTTTTTATGCGCCTATTTTAACTCAATAAGAACATAAAAACATGGATATGCATGGATATAAAAATTGAATAACAGCCAAATTCTATTTTTTCAGTCATTTTTTTATAATAGCCAGTTGATTACCACGATTTACACCTTTTATAGCATTTTATTTTTTAAACCTTTGTGTTTAATTAAGTAGACAACATAGGACCCTATTAGAGATCTTGAAAATATCTTTCAGACTTAATATATTTATCCTAATATATTAAGCATGAAGATTTGAATCCAATGACCAACAATTTAGAAACCAAGCATTTTAATTATATTGAGTTGGAGAAGTCTGACTAGACTGTAAGCACATTTCCTATGACCTTACTAATTGAATTTCTTTCCACAGTCGAACATGGGCAACTTCATGCAGACGGGTCGCGGCGGCTACGGAACGGGCGGAGGCGGTGGCGGTCCTTTGAATAACTTCCACGTGTTCGGCGGTGGCGGGAGCGATACCTCCACGCCAGCCCTGCTTGATCCCACGGAGTTTCCCTCGCTGACTAATGCGCGCGGCCAGAACGACCAGACACTGCCCCAATCGAATCCGCTCCAGCCGCCGGGCAGCAAACCCTATGGTAATTTCTTTACCTCTTGTGAGTTCAAATCAAAATCCACTTATTTTTATTTATTTCTGTTTACAATTACGATTAAGAACCTGCTGGGAGTGGTGTCTTGTGATTCGTTGGCCCACTAAGCTATGCTATGTAGTATTTGTAACTAATCTCGTATAGCGGTGGTAGTATAGCAAACGCTTAAAAGAGAATACCCAGGCTAAAAGAAAGTTTTCTACTTTATTATTTGTATTTGTAGATTAAATGTATTTTCTCCTGGAATTATTATCTTATTTCGTAAACCTTGATTAGCTTAATTCCTAGATTATTAGTTAATCAAGGTATGCTTGCGGTATGACGGACATTTTATGTTAATTAACTAATATAATTTTGTATTAAAATTAGACAACAATATTTCTTT